CAACAATTACAGGGGACTGCAGACAGCTAATGACAGTTGAGGAAATCAGGAGGGGCCAAGAACCACCTTTGAGGTGAAGCAAAGCTGCTGGTCCAGCCTCTCTGATGGCTTCCAATACACTCCCCTCACCTTCTACACCTAACAGGCAGTTGTCTGTCAGGTGCAGACCCACCTCCACTGTGGCTTCTAATACTTCACCCCTCCCCCTCCTACACTGGACAGGCAGCTGCCTGTCAGGTGTAGGAGAGGAGGTGGGATAGCTTCCAACACCCCCAACCACCTACACCTAACAGGCAGTTGTTTGTCAGGTGAAGCCCCACCTCCACAGTGGCTTCTAATACTCCTCCCCCCTCCCCATCCTACATTGGATAGGCAGCTGCCTGTCAGGTGTAGGAGAGGAGGTGGGATGCTTACAGCCACCATGGAGGTTTGCTCAGCAAGATTGCCTTGGCACTGCTGCTGGCCCAGCCTCCCTGATGCCTTTAAATACAATCCCCCCCCCAACACCAGACAGGCCGGTGTCTGTCAGGTGTAGGAGCAGGGCCAGGGTATGAATGTTTATGGGGAGATCATAAAGGACATTTCTAGGAGCCATTTCAATGTGTGCCTCCCTCATGAACCTGAAGAAAAGTCCACCACATCACCACTCCCTCACACCAACTCCCCCTCACACTTACTGCCCCCAAGAAAGCTTTTGGCAAATGTCGAACCAGATACAGCAACACTACAAGGAGTAGGCAACTTAGGAATGCGGCAAAGGCTTTTGCATATAGCACTCCTGCAGGGCACTGAGCTGCACAGGCCAAGTACCAGCAAGGTGCTCAGAACAACACAGTCTCCATATGAGCAAAACAATCCAGGAACACAAGTACAGAGGCCATCACTTTCGTTGAAGGTAGCAGGAGTGGACTTAACAGACGACTGCTTCTTAAATGGACAGTTCTATGTGGCCTGCTCCAGAGTGAGCTCATCAAGCAGTCTGGTGATCCTAGCACCTGAGGGCAGAACCACCAATGTGGTCTACAGAGAGGTCCTTCAGTAGAGAGAAAAAAAGTACGTATGTCTCACTTAATTTCTTACACTACAATCTTCTCCATTAGAATTCCTATGACAAATGTCACATTTCAAATTTCACATCATCAGTATTATAACTGGATTTATGGAACTTAAATACCATAGCGAAGCACGGGTATCAGGCTAGTAAGAACATAAGAGAAGCCAATGCCAGATTAGGCCAATGGCCCATCCAGTACAACACTCTGTCACACAGTGGCCAAAAATACCAGGTGCCATCAAGAGGTCCACCAGTGGGGCCAGGACATTAGAAGCTCTCCCACTGTTGCCCCCCCCCACCCCAAGCACCAAGAATACAGAGCATCACTTGCTCCAGAGATCCTATCTATACCAAGTTGCAGTGGGAGAAATTCTGATTAGTTCATTCAAACAACAAAATCAGTTTTAGTTGATATACCTCTATTTATGGATTTCCCCCTTTCAAGGCAGTTGGGACTACAATAAAAACTAACAAGTTTGTGGTTGGGAAAGGTTAACCTCTCATCCAAACTTGGTAAATTTGTATACAAAAAGAGTATCAGCCCCTATGATGAAAAGGAATTAATTTCTTGCCTTTGTCATCACTGCTGAATGAGAATGAGATTCTTGCAGCTCTGTAGCTCTGTAACTCCCACCTCTATAATTTTATTTCTTTCTGGTTCTATGTACTCTCCAGGTGAGGAGTCATCCTCTTGTTCATCTGTCCAACCTGTGTTCCTGGCCAGTTGGTCCAGTCTGTACCAGTACACATCTGAGCCTCCAGGAAAATGTTTCCAAAAGGAGAAGATGGCATCAGGTAGTGAAAATAAAACTTGCTCTCTGTTTCAGAGCTTAGAAGCACTAGTAATGTCATGATCGTTTGCTGAATTTAATGGGAGTCTTCATTGTAAAACCTATGTTTGCCTAAACAGGAAGAAAACAGATAGAAGTAAAGGTGAGAGTGTTCCACTAGACTGAGTAGGAAGGCTCATGGAAATGAGTCAGATGGCTTAGCCCAGAGCTGGTTGAGTCCCCTAATTCTACAAAATGTCCATATGTTTAGAATGTCCAAGGAATATTCAAAATCCCACTAACACTGAATGTATTAATTTTTGTGGGTCTTTCTAAATTTGTAAAACTTTTTTTTTTTTGCTTCTGTGCTTATGTTTGAGAATGTGTGTGGATGTGCTTGCGCACATGCTTGCTTTGGAGTGATTTAAAAAAATCTTGTCCCTGCTATGGCCTTGTCTTATATCAGACTTTACACTTCAATTGCATTTGCTGCAGCTATACCAATTTTATACTTGTTTCGCAACACGTAAGTGTGAAGGCAGACACACCCCACTAAACATTTATGGACATATGCTAGGGAGCCCTGCTTTTTCAGAATCACCCCCCCACACACACACACAGTGGGGATAAGCTCACTGCATTTTAGAAACATGAATATGCCTTTCACAGTTCATTGTGAGTGCAGCCATTGCAAACACAGTTACTTCTCTGCTCAGTTCTTTGCCTCGTGGGTGGCAAGGGGAAGAAGAGTCAAGAAGCTACAGTGGCAGAGGTAGTATCCAGCTTCCTGGCTTATGGTTACATTGTTGTTTCAGGTTCTGCTGATGGCTCCTTTTCAGTGAAAATTTCCTTTGCCCTGCTCTCCTCTATTATAGCATCTATAAGATGGGAGAGATGGGCCTGCCTCCTTTTGTTCCCTTTGAATGACTTGGGCAGCTTCATCCATTCTCTTGAAAGAAAAACCAGTTAAATGAGCATCCATTGAGCAATTTATTTTCTTTCTGGTTTTAGCTATAATACAACTTGTTTTACAGACTGGTACAGTTAACTGCGGAGAAAGAACATTTAAGTGAACCTGCTTATAAAAGCATGCCATTCTTGCAGCCCATATTTCCTGGCATGCATTTATCTTCTAAGCCCACAGACATAGCCCAGGATTTAAATCCTGTTAGCCTGCCACAGCTGGGAAAGAGCAACTTGGATTTTTTTTTTAATGGGCCTCAAGCATCATTAGCGTAATTGCTGCCTAAATTTCCAGTTTCCAAGAGCTTTATGTCTGTGTTTGATGATGTGTGAAGTAGAATGAGCACAGCTAGATGTTTCAGATAGCAGCCTTTATGAGGGAGCTCAGTTCCTCCCCCCCCCCCCAAAAAAAACCTGATGAGCAAAGACTTATGCAAATCAAATGTTTTCCTTCAAGAAAGGTAGTTACTAGGAGGCCCCTTTCCCCCCCAGGGTGGTTTCTACCAACTCCTGTTGCTACCCAGATCCGCAAGAAAGGAAGAAAGGGAATCCTCAGAGGCTTGAGGAAAGCTACTGAGACTACCATCGGCGGCATCCTGTTGTGCTCGTAGCTATATGAAGATAATCTCAGATATCTCATTCTCTTGTCCTCTGTTACTTTGGAGGCTGGTTTTCTCTTCCAGCATGTCATTTTATTTATTGAAAGCACTCTCAGTGCTTTCTGGCCATCCCTCCCTATTGCTCGAGGCATTGTTCGATAAAACCAACATAACATACCAGAACAGTCATTAAAAATGAACAGGCAGGAATAAAGCTGAAAATAAAATATTTAAGCAATACAAACCACCCTGCCCTGAAGCATGCTCCATTTAGTCACCTTTAGTAGGTATAGCCAGTTCAGCTTCCCAAACAGAATGGTAACAAGGAGACCAAGCCTTGGGGCTATTGCAGGAAGGCCCTGATCCTCTGTGCTGCTGCTGTTTGAATGATGGGACTCTAAGCAAGGCCCAGTCTTAACTAGGATATAGTTCTGGTAGGAAGAGCCATTCCCATTAACAAGTTATGTAAATTAAAATATATATATATTATTCTTCCCACCACTTGCCAGAACACTTTTAAGTTGCTGCTTACTACACCAGTTTGGTGTAGTGGTTAAAAACAGTAGACTCTAATCTGAAGAACTGGGTTTGATTCCCCACTTCTCCACATGCAGTTGCTGGGTGACCTTGGGTCAGTCACAGCTGTCTCAGAGCTGTTCTCTCAAGAACAGTTCTCTTAGAGCTCTCTCAGCCCCACCTACCTCACAAGGTGTCTGTTGCAGGGAGAGGAAGGGAAGGAGATTGTAAGCTGCTCTGAGACTCCAAGTGAAGGGCGGTATATAAACCCAATCACTTCTTTCCTTCTTCTTCTTTAGGTGTTTAAAACAGGTTGGCTAAAGCAGCATGTCATTTACCTCCAGGCATGTAACAGTAGTCCCAGCCTAATGCGACACTACCCTTCCCTTACCAAGCAGTTACCAAAGATTCATATTTAATTAAATGTATTTGGAGTAGGGTTACCATATTTTGAAAAGCAAAAAAGAAGACGTATTTCCTGACTCAGTACTTCAAACAAGTGATCATTATGGCAAATCTCATTTTAAATACCCCTACTATTTAAACTGGGATAATTGCTACTAATTAGCAATGTTCCTAACCTTCCAACATAAAAAGAGGACAATTTCATCAGTTTTTAAAAAAAGAGCTCCAAAGAGGACAGACATCAAAAAAGAGGACATCTGGTAATCCTAATTTGGAGAGAATTATTTTCCCCCAGTCAAACTAGTGATTTACTAGAGGCAGAGCTTTTCCTCAGATCTCCAGCAAGTTGCTCTAGGGCTTTCAGATTAATGCTTGGAGAATGAATGTGGGTCAGGAGTGGGGGATGGGAGTTGATAGTAAGAAAAAAAGGAAGAGGAACAAACAGTCCCTTCCCTCTCCAATGTGGCAGGTGCCACTGGACTCAAACTTTGTTCCAGTACAGGATATGTTTTGCATGCATGAAGTTCCCGGTTTGCTCCCCAACTTTTTTGCTTAAAGGATTTCAGCAATGGTGACAGAGAATTCTGCTTGAGGTCTTGGAGGAGAAGCTGCCACTCAGAGCAAATATTCTGGTCCAGAAAGGGCATTTGTCTAATAGGTATTAGGCAGATGCTTATATCTCTTTGTCCCCTTTCATTACGCCCTTATTTTGCCTCCTCTGAAAAGTTGACAGTGGTCCTTCTGCCTGCATGGTGACTTGTCAGGTAACTCCAGGGAATTGGATCCAGGAAGTCAGCCTGCACAGATAGGAGAGGGAACTCTGGAAACTGAATCCGTGTCACTGGCTGTAGGGGAAGGGTTCCCAAATGGTAAGTTTTGTCTAATTGTGGCTTTATCCCCCCCCCCCACATCAGTAACTTAAAATAAAAGAACAAGATAGTTCTCAGCAAAATTTCTGAGAAGATCATATCATGAGCATTGATGTAGCTTGCACTGCATTGCTATTAGCATTGCAAAAAGTGGAGAATAAGATGTGAAAAGTGAAGAAGAGCGAAAGAGAAGAGGGTTTATTGCAGGCCAGATTCTGTCACTCTCAGTGCAGATAACAGCAAGAATGATCTAGAAATGTGGAAATATCCTATAACATTCTACATTTTTCTATCACCGAACAACATTTAGCATTTGTACATAAAGCTTATTCAGGTTTAATAGTCAGGGCAACACATGAACTGGCAAAGGACAGGTAAGGATAGCTCCCTGACTCAGATGTGCCCTCATGCAATCACCGATTCCCATGTGATCATTTCCTGTGAATTTGGATACAAAGAGAGGTTAATATGCAAAGATGGCTAAATGAGTGTGAAATGAAAATGCCATACAAATGTTGATAAGGGGTCCTTCTAAGTCAGGAGGAGAGAATACTTGTGTCACAAGTGGCCTCTTCCGTTTTAGTAGCTCAAGATGGGGAGAGGTTGCCAGCAGCCCTAAAGGTGAACCATCTGATAGTAGTAGCATATTAACCCCCCTCTAATAGGCTGCAGCGACTACAACAGAACGGAAAAGAAAAAAGCTCTGAGTATTTTCAGTATCAGTGATTGCCTCATAGTTTGTTTTGAGGGAGGTAAGAAGGAGACATTTTCCCTTCAAAGTCCATTATCTGGCAGGCGTCTTGTTGCTGAAATGTGCCTTGTAGGCCCTAGCAGGCATGTCAAGGAGGAGGAATTTCTGCCTGTTACCTGAGGGGGAAATCACTCAAGCAGATGAAAACTGTTTAATGTTTCCAGTGATGTTTACTCGGTACATTTCAACTGCTTGCACATGGGTGTTTTTGAAACTAGTGAAAGATTGAAAGTGACAGATGTCATAACGTGATCGCTGTTGGAGCACCTTCTCAGAATTATCCTGAAGCCAGCTGTTCCAGTTCTGGGACTCTAAATGCGATGTAGAACTTGCCTCCAGTGCAGTCATTAACCCGCAATTCTAACGCATGGCATTTAGCAGTGTGATAGATATTTATATGCATGAGTGAGCTTCCATGTGACAGCCATTCCAGGCTCATCTTCTTTATAATCTTCACTAATATGTGCAATCAGACTTAAATGAGGGTTGATCGTTGAAGAATAATGACTCTGAGAAGGGGCAGTTATAAGTATAATATTTTCTTTCCTTTAATTTCCATTTCTCTTTTTAATTTTCATTTTAAAGAGATCTCCCTCTCGTTTTCTGTCAAGAGTCGTTCTGGGCAGGGCCTGAACCATCAGCTGCAGGAGGCAGCAAGAAAGAGGTTGTGGGCCCTGGAAAATGATGATAAAGATGTTTGTGGGCTTTTCAAGGTAAAGTGGTTGTTGCATGTCACCCTTAGCAGAGTTACACCCTTCTGTGTCAATTGTAGTCAATGTGTTGTGTGCTCAGTTGCCCTGTAAAACACCTGGCATTGCTGTAATGTTGGGAATATGGCATAAGAAGATGGTACAGCTGTAGCTCTTCTTCATGTTTCCTGGCATTCCTACCTAAGCCAACCAGAGATGTATTGTTACCATCATTTATTAATAATATTGTTACCCATTGTTATCGTAGGTGCCCATGTGATGGCAGCAATCTGTAGAACTCAGTTATCTATACAGTCAAGTACCAATAGGACAAAAATGTATCAGGATGAGTTTATCATGGGAATAAGCCTTCAGTGTTGTCCTTAGTGCAGGGCTGAACTGGGTTGCTTTGCCTTTGCTGCAGACTAGGCATTGGGTGTAGAATTATGGTGGTCCAAATGCTGAAAAGGCACTGTATCTACCTGTGAAGATGCTGGGGTGCTAGCAAACAAATGGGAGGGGTAAGAGATGAGGGTTGTACTTAAATATACTGGAAGCTAGTCAAGCCCCAGAGACATTGCCATGTTCAGTGCTGACAATCCAGTTGTATGGGCAGAGAACTGGCCCTGTGTACTAAGCAGAAGGGTCTGACATATCACTGTTCAGCACATGAGCTGGAGAGTTGCTAACTTCTGGCCTACACTTTCCCAAACTTCTTTGCAGGAACTGTCAGCAAGGCTGGTATGCATCCAGGCACAAGAGGATCGGTTTTTATTGTCCTTCAAGACCATAGAAGAAATCTGGAAGTTTTCAACATACTTGGCACTTGGTAGGTCACAAGAAACTGAGGGGTGATAGTCATTCTGTCAGCAGAGCATAAGGGTGAAACCTTTATAAGGTGTGTTGGCCTGATCCTTAGGGTGGGACTAGACTAGATGTTAAGACAGACATGAAGCTGTCAGCATTCTGTGCTTCCATTTCCCTTTTCCTTGTAACACCTAGCTTATCCAAAGTTCTCCCCCCTCCGCACTGATACCCAATGATGCAAATCACAAGTGAGGTGGGACAATGCACGATCATATCATCATGTTGTATTAAATGAGACATGAGAATAGAAAAAGAAAAGAGAAAAAGACAGAGAGTGAGCAGCAGCAGCAGCTTGGTTTCTTTTGTACCATCCTGTTTCCATACATAGAAAGCCTGAAAAATAGTGTGAAGCCTTCTGAGGTCTTCCTTTAAACATGTAAGAATGCAAAGATCAAGGTAGGCCAAGAGGGTAATAGCCAGTGGTAGGCGTATGTGTCAGCTATGCTGCCATAAGGGTTGGGGGGTGGGGTGCCAGGACTGCTGCATTCCTTTTTGGCTTCTGTAACGCTTGCTTATCTATGGCCTTGCAGGTGGTGTGTAGTGTCTGGGATTCTAGGGAACCGTGGGAGCACTTTCGGTTCTCAGCTTCGGCTCTAACGGCCTGGGGCTCCTCCTCCTGCGCGCGGGAATGTGGCTAATTGGCCTAAGGAAGGAGGGGTGCATACAAATATCCTATATCCCATTATGCTTGTAGGAGCAACGCCATTCTTAACAGTGCCTTTGTTAATGCATCTATAGCTCTTCAATAAAGTATAACCTTTCCAATAAGCGTGTACTCAGTTGTTGGCTGTGGAACCTGACATTCTGTTAAGAATCCCTCATTCTCTATCTACGCACTTCTCTCTCTCTCTCTGAAATGAGCGACAAAGAGGAGAAACAGGTCCCCTCCGAGGAGGAGATTCTGATCCCCACCACGTCTGGGGGGGAGACTCCCACGACCCAGGCGATGGCACCTGTGACCACTACACCTCTGGTGACCGCCGCTGGGAAGGGAGTGGAGTGGTTCCAAAGATGACCTCGACCCATTTGTTCCTGACTCCTTTGGGGTTGCGGCAGCCACCTGGCCAGGGGTACCAACTGAGCTCCAGGTGGAGCCAATTCAACCCGGACTCCACGGCAGAGATTTATATGCTTACGCAGAGGTCCCGGAAAGACAGTAGGTTTGACCTGGGGTTTGCCTAAGCTGGAAATTTCCCCCCCCCTACGGGGTCCCCTTAGAGCCACCGCTGGGAGCATGGGTGACGGAGAGGTCGAAGGCGAGGAGTGGGCGTGCATCCCCTATTGAGGGACTGGAACTAGCCCATAGAATGGAGGTGGCGGATCGGGAGAGGCGGCAGCTGCAATGGGAGTTGGAGGAAGTAATCTAAGCGATCCCGCAGTTGGTGGTCCAAGCCATCTGAGCGGAGAGGGAAGCCCAACTGGTGGCACTGGTAATCCCTGCTGCCCCACTGGCACCTCTGCCACCACCCAGATCGGAGAATGTACCCGTGCCGGGACCAGGGGAGGCCCCGGCTCCAGCACCATGACCAGGCAGCCCTAGAGGCCCGGTGCTACATCGCCTGAAAGACCTGATCAATGCCACGTTCTACAGAAACCCTGAGGAACTATCCTACTTTGTGGTTCGAGTGATGAAGTTTGTGGAAAGGTCAGGCCACCTGTTTCCAGATGACAGCAGCCGAGTGGATGTGCTGGCTGCCCGTTTACGGGGAGCCGCGGCGGCTTCGTATGTGGGATTACACAATGCCAGGGGCCCGGAGATGGTGAATTTGGATGCTTTTATGTGGGCATTGCATGCCCAATTTGAGGACCGGAACGCCGGGCCCAAAGTTAGGGCATTTCTACGCACCCTGAAGCAAGGGAGATCGGTGAGGGAATACTCCTCTGAGTTTAAGTTGCACGCAGCCAAGGTCCAAACTTGGCCAGATCCGGTGCTAGCTGAGTTGTACTGGGTGGGACTGAACCCAGAGATCCGAGAAACAGTCCTACGGGAGGTGGACCCGATCTCTTTACTGGCATGGATGCAAGAGGCGGAGAGTGCGGAGACCCGCCTGAATACCCTGTGCCTGGGCATCGCAACAGTGGGGGGTAAGCCTAACCCCCGGCGCAGAAGATAAAACCGGCAATGTTTGCTGAGTCTACCCGAGAGCAATGCATGCGCCAAGGGCTATGCCTAAAGTGTGGGGAGCGGGGTCATTTCACAGCTGACTGTGGTGGATTGGGCCCAGGGAAACAGAGCTCGAGCGATCCAGGGAAAGCATGCCTAGCAACCCCGACCAGGAAGTTGACAGGGAAGCCGAAATTTGCCAAAGCCCTCCAGGCAAGCCCTGAGGAATTGGGAGAAGAACATAAGAACATAAGAGATGCCAATGTTGGATCAGGCCAAAGGCCCATCCAGTCCAACACTCTGTATCACACAGTGGCCAGAAATACCAGTGCCATCAGGAGGTCCACCAGTGGGGCCAGGACATTAGAAGCCCTCCCACTGTTGACCCCCCCAAGCACTAAGACGACATAGCATCACTTGCCCCAGAGTCCCTAACAAGGACAATAGAAGCCCTTCCACGGATGGACCTCTGCTCCATATGCTTATCTAATTCCCTTTTGAAGCTGTCCATGCTTGTAGCCGCCACCACTTCCTGTGGCAGTGAATTCCATGTGTTAATCACTCTTTGGGTGAAGAAGTACTTCCTTTTATCAGTTCTAACCCAACCGCTCAGCAATTTCATGGAGTGCCCACGGGTTCTTGTATTGTGAGAAAGGGAGAAAAGTACCTCTTTCTCTACCTGCTCTTTCCCATGCATAATCTTATAAACCTCAATCATGTCACCCCTCAGTCGTCGTTTCTCCAAGCTAAAGAGCCCTAAGCGCCTTAACCTTTCCTCATAGGGAAAGTGTTCCAACCCTTTTATCATTCGAGTTGCCCTTTTCTGCACTTTCCACAAAGCTATAATATTCTTTTTAAGGTGTGGTGACCAGAACTGCACACAGTGTTCCAAATGAGGTCTCACCATTGATTTATATAGGGGCATTATGATATTGGCTGATCTGTTTTCAATACCCTTCCTAATAATCCCCAGCATAGCATTGGCCTTCTTTATTGCAGTCACACACTGTCTCGACATTTTCAGTGAGTTATCTACTACAACTCCAAGATCTCTCTCTTGATCAGTCTCTGCCAGTTCAGACCCCATCAACGTGTATTTATAGTTAGGATTTTTGGCTCCAATGTGCATCACCTTGCACTTGGCCACATTGAACCCCATTTGCCATGTTGACGCCCACTTGCCCATCCTTGACAGATCCCTTTGGAGTGCCTCACAATCCTCACTGGTTTTCACCACCCTGAACAACTTTGTATCATCCGCAAATTTAGCCACTTCACTGCTTACTCCCATCTCCAAATCATTAATGAACAAGTTAAAAAGCAGTGGACCAAGTACTGATCCCTGCGGTACCCCACTGCTTACCACCCTCCACTGAGAAAATTGCCCACCTACACTCACTCTCTGTTTTCTATGAACTAGCCAGTTTTTGATCCATAAAAGGACTTGTCCTTCTATCCCATGATTTTTGAGCTTACTTAGGAGCCTTTGATGAGGAACTTTATCAAAAGCTTTCTGGAAGTCAAGGTAAATAATATCTATTGGATCCCCCTTGTCCACATGTTTGTTCACCCCCTCAAAGAACACTAACAGGTTAGTGAGACAAGATCTTCCCTTACAGAAACCGTGCTGAGTCTGCCTCAATAGGTTTTGTTCATCTATGTGCCTACTAATTCTTTCCTTAATAATGGTTTCCACCAATTTACCCGGTATCGACGTCAGACTGACTGGCCTGTAATTTCCCGGATCTCCTCTGGAACCCTTTTTAAAGATGGGAGTGACATTAGCTACCTTCCAATCCTCAGGAATGGAGGCAGATTTTAAGGAAAGATTACATATCTTTGTCAGGAGATCTACAAGTTCACATTTGAGTTCTTTCAGAACTCTCGGATGTATGCCATCTGGGCCTGGTGATTTTTCAGTTTTTAAGTTGTCTATCAGTTTTAGGACCTCCTCTCTCATCACCTCAATCTGACTCAGGTCTTCCAACACCCCTCCTGAAATCAGTGGTTCTGGAGTGGGCAAGCACTTCTCATCTTCCACAGTGAAGACGGAGGCAAAAAATGCATTTAGCTTCTCAGCCATTTCCCTATCATCCTTCAATACTCCTTTTACCCCTTGGTCGTCCAAGGGCCCCACTGCCTCCCTGGCTGGTTTCCTGTTTCTAATGTATTTGAAGAAAGTTTTATTGTTGGTTTTTACGTTTTTTGCTATATGCTCCTCATATTCCCTTTTTGCCTGCCTGACCTCAGACTTGCATTTTATTTGCCATAGCCTGTGTTCCGTTTTATCAGCCTCACTGTGACTAGCTTTCCACTGCTTAAAGGAATTCTTTTTACTTTTTACAGCCTCCATTACTCTGTTTGTTAACCATGCAGGCTTTTTCCTATACCTGTTTGTGCCTTTCCTAACCTGCGGAATATATATTTTTTGAGCTTCTAGGATCGTAGTTTTAAATAGATCCCAAGCTTCCCCAATTAGGTTTTTGGCTAGATATGTTTAAATGCACCGCTCTTTCTTTTTTCTTTTCTTTCTGTAATATCTAAATCACGTGGGCAATTTAAAAAAAAAGTAATTTCCTGAGTTCAGAGGTGCAAAGATAGGAGTTTTATTGTTCTTTTCCATTTCTTTGTCCATCAACCCTTACTGCAAGGAGAGGGGAAGCCCATCTCTTTCTCACCACAGCTACAGAATTGACCTAGATCACAAGACGTAACTTTCCACCCAGCTATCTGATTGTGAGTAAATGATCTTCTGAATGCGTGTGAAGTTGATTAAAGATGATATAAGCTCTCCTCAGTAGTCATGCGTTGACTCACACCTAGAGAGCGTTGACTTAGCACAGATCGCGTTGGACAGG